AGCAAAGAAAAACTTTGTGAATATACTTTCGCAAAGCTAGTTATAGAATCACTCTGATATGGACAGAAGATAGACATGCAATCACATACGCAGCAGGGCAAAAACACATTGACACTCTTGCTCTATAAATAGCCTGCCATTTTACTGGCTCACAACTATACTGCAACTAACACTGATAAGAGAAAGATGGTTTAGAAATAAAAACAGCAGGTTAAAAGGCACTATGAAAAAAATCAATTGAGTGGAGTGAGACAGTGAGGAAGAACCATCCATGTTACAGACACCTGCCTACACTTGCCATCATAGACTCTGTGTAACTGCAGAAACAACAACTCTGTGAATGAGTGTGTGTTCAGCAAATACATGAGCGCTAGTGTGTTAACAGAGCTTAAATATTACTATCCGCTGATCCGACCCACAGATTATCAGCACACTGAGCAAAGAGATGAAAAAAAAGACCAGAGAGGGTTATTATTATTTACACCTTTATTACCAAGTCATCTAAATGCTGACAAAATGGAGACTTCTGTTGTTTTTATAGAAAGTTATTAACTGTATGTTAATTATAATCATAAAAGTACAACATTATTTATATTTAACCATATTAAAAATAATGATGTACTTCATCATTTAGGCCTTTGAGTCCCTGAATGTCAGATTCAGCTAACACAAAACTTTTGCTTATTTGTCAAATATAGTCATTCATTCAAAGAGAGAAGCTACTGTACAACAGTAATTCAACATCATGTAGTTCAAATTTAGATGTTCACGTGTGCATATATGACAAATTACTGCACAGGAATACATACAAGAGCTATTTAGAGATGCTTATTTAGAGATGACACCAACTCCGGATAGGGTTCTTGCAAGCCACATGTTAATGTTGCGATATACATGCCCTCTTCTCAGCCATTTGGTTTATGGAAAACTTGATGAAATGATGATGAATAACTGTGATATTTCCATTAATGCATTAACGTGAAACACGGACACAGTTAATAAAACCAGTGAGATTGAGCTACTGAGATGAACTGAAAAAGAGAAAGCATGTGTTGGAAAGAAAGAGTCAGCGTGTGCCCATGTACAGTATGTGAATGGAATTCAGAGAGAACGTAGATGTCCTTGGGCAACGATTGTCCTTGTGATTTATGAACAAAAGTTGAAATTACAACAACATTTGCAATACAACACCTTAGCAGATTGCAATGTGAACTGATTAAAATCAGCATTATGTTACCCTAATGCTATGCAGGAAATAGTGTATATGTTAATACACATCATACACATCAATGAATTTAAATAAATATGTGTTAAGGAGCTACACTGTTACAGACATGTTAATATAAGCTAATTATAATTACTACAGACTAACCCAAACTGTAACCCTAAAATAAATGATTTTGCTTTAAAAATAATATATATATATATATATATATATATATATATACATACATACACACAATTAATATGCAATGTTAATAATTTTTACATTATTTATTTAAATGAAAATCTTATCCCCTATTTAAAGAATAACCTCATCACCAAAACTTTTGTCCCAAACATATTGCTAAGTACATACACACTAATTTAAAAGAATGCATGCACAAAATCACACCTGCATACAATACACACACACTCTCTGCACGACATGATGGTCAGACTGACCTACTATCTACTAACAGACACTGACCAAGAGCCCTGTGATCATCAGGGCTGACAAATGAATATCAGTGTTTCCCTCACTGGCTCCAATTATCACACGACACAGCACAACAGACAACAAAACATGATACACCACCAGAAAAGTTCTTGACCTTGGAATTTCTCTGTCAAATCTCTCTGGCTGCAACATGTTTGCGTTGAGAGTGTAAAGTGGCCTTCTGTACTCTTCAGATGATCACAGTAACACAATCTGACTATAGACCACACACATTTTGATTGTTCAGAGTATGTGAACTGCAAAATCAAACCAAACTAATGTTCAACACACCACAGTTTAGCATTAGTTTATGTTGAACCACTGACTTAAAAATGAGTGACAGTCTGTTATGCGATCAAATGAAAGAGATCTTACCTGCCTGTGCATTGGTGTGAATCATGCAGCATATCTCTCTACAAATTCATGCCTCCCTTAACAAGAAAGAAAGAAAGTACAATCAACAACAGTGTGGTGTGCAAGAGCCAAGCATGTGATACTGACTCCACACAGATGCATGCTGCCACTCTCCTCCCTTTGCTTTCTCTGGCCCTCCCCCTTCACTTCCACTCCTCTTTCACTCAGTCCCACCCCTCACTTCCCTTCGCTCTGTCTCTTTTCGCTCCATCAATCAATCATTCTGTATCTTTCTTCCCCCTCCACATCCCCCCCTCACACACACACACACACACACACACACACACACACACAGTTCCAGTACATACATTTGACAATAACAAGCAGAGAGTAAAGGCATCCTGGATTGTCCTTGAGCTTATGACAAATAATCATTAGTGAAATGTACTGTACAGTGATGGTATTTGATTATGATAGCATGGTAGTTTGCTAAATATAATATATACTAAACTCATATTCCATGGTATTATGCACAAAATGAATAAATTGTTTATCTCAGCTCACCTGTTTTGTTAGATGATTTCTAATTGCCCTCTCAGGTCAGTTCACTGCCTTGGTTTTGTGTGCTTTGAGAAAATATTTAGACAAATTGAGTAAAGAAATGATAATAAAGCATACATATCTTTTACTAAAATATTTTTAAGACATGTAAATAGATCTTTGGACATTAAATATTGATTTCATGATCCATTACAATGTACAAAACAATCGGCATAGGAACAAGACCAACATGGCAACAATTTTACGGTAATATAAAATTCAAAGTATAATGTTTTCGGTGGTAAAATACTTAATCTTTTTGCAGATTTATGTGGATTGACAACTATAAGCAAGCCATTCTTAAAGGGGTCATATGATGCCCATTTTCCACAAGTTGATATGATTCTTTAGGGTCTTAATGAAAAGTCTGTAACATAGTTTGGTTAAAATTTCTCAATGGTAGTGTAAAAACACCTGTTTTACACTGTCAAAAACAGCTCTTTTCAGATCAAGCCATTTTTGTAACATTTCCCTTTAAATGTTAATGAGCTTTGCTGTCCCCGCCCCTCTCTTCCGAGCTGCTCTCAGAGAGACTGTTTACTTTAGCGCATTCATTGTGAAACTTGCTAATTAGCACATTATTAGGAAAGGCCATTTGCAAAGATTCATTACAAAACATTATACTCACTTCTTCTGTAGATGAGGCTGGATCATGAATGATTCGTGTGAACATAGACGCATTTAGGCAGATAGGGGGAGCATTCCCTTCAGAAAAAAACGAAATCCACTGCGTCTTCAGCGGCTCAGATGTCAGGAGTAAATGACGACTGCTATGTTCATTATTACATCCAACAACAGAACACCTCAATCGCTTAGGAGTCATTCTTGTCTACATCTGCTCCGGCGGTGAAACAATGGCGGACTGATGACAGCTCACTCAGGGC